CCTTTTCTCCGCCTCAGGCTTCTTTTCCGAAGCATTTTAATGCCACAATTATCAAATTTAATGAATTTTAATGCCAATTAAGGCCGTAATTTAAAAAGTTATAATTTAATGACTGTTAATGATTTTTAATGACCCGCAGAAACCCTGTTTTTAAAATGTACATTGTCTTGTTCCAATGGCAAACTCACTTACCTGCTCAATTCCAGAAAAAAAATGCTCTTATTTTAGGAAAAATTTGACTTTACATTTTTTTTTACATTTTTGGCAGTGTAATAAAAGTGGTTTGTTGCTTATTAGGATCAACAGGAATCAAAGGGTTATGAAACAAGCGGCCACTTTTAATAGAACTTCGCTTCTCTTCCCATTATAAATAACAGAAAACATGTTGTTCTCTTGTCTCTCTCTCCCTCTATCTATCTATCTATCTATCTATGTTTTTTGTTGTTTTTTTTACAGCATTTATGCAAACGAAAACAAAATGCAAAACCAGTGATGAAAATTGGCCTCAAATTTCCTAAAGCTGCATCTTTGATTAATATCTGGATGGATTCTAAATTCAATTCAAAGCAAAAATCCTGCAAACTATTTCAGATGATTTTGGAATCATTTTATCAAGGCTTATATTGGTTCTATTCTAAATTTAACCGTATGGATAATTATATATCCAGGTCAGGAAAGCACCTGGAATTGCTCTTTTTAGAGTATGTTGCCAAATAACAGCAGCTGAAGGATGCTGCAAGACCAACTGTGACACAAAAAGCTGAAAATGCTTTGCAGAGAAAAGAAAACATTTCAGTTCCAAGTGAGAAGCAAAATTATTGGAAATAATATAGGAAGCCACAAGAGACTGATGTCACATGCTCACAGAAATGCAAACACATAAGACCAATTACCTTCAGCGCATACCGACCCAAGATGGCCGCCCTTTTTACATGCAAAAGCATCTTAACCAAATAATCAGAAGCCATATTGCCCATTTCACCACATCCCAATCACCCAGTGCACGGGGGACCATAGTGACTGAAAACGAAGCCTGCTGAGCATGGCGGTTAGCGATTTGAGCGCTCCCCAGTGGGCCTTTCTGTCCCAGCGCAGAAACGGCAAAGAGCCCAACCCCAGAGGCAGTCTAGGACTGGGACTGTACCATCAGCCTGCTGCTCCTCATGCCGTTGCTGCTGCCACTGCTGCCTTCGGAGTGTTTTGCGTTTGGCGTAATCGTGGTCAAACGGCGTGGCCACGTAAGGAGGGGAAGTCACACCTGGGGTGGCAGCCGAGGGTAGGGAGGGGCTGCGGACTGTGCCTATGCAAACCGTAGAGCAGTTAAATTCTTCTTCTGTCATGGTAGGGGGTTTCTCTCTGAAAAATAAACAATCACGATCATATCAACGGCGTTTTTTGTCTGTTTGTTTTTTGAATAACTGAGGAAGAAGCTTACTTTTCATTGGACCTTGGTAAGCTTGGCATGCTCTTCTCTTCCCCCTTTGCAAACGGCCCGGTCGCTGCTTCCACCAACAGGTTAAACAAAAGCTCGTGATCCAGATCGGGCTCAGTAGCTTGTAATAATTTCAGGATGGAGGCACTCAGACGGAAATGCAGCTAGATTTAAAAGGGAAAAAATTAATGAACATAAAAGCCAAGTTAAAAAGGTAAAGTCAATGATCCCAGGTGAGAACAGGTGTGATTACCTCCAAGGCCTCCATGGCCAAGTCAGGAGGATTGTGGTAATGAATTTTCCGTGGGTACCGGGCAGCTTCCTCATGCAGATATTGTGCCGCCTATGAAGGAAACAGCAGAGTAACCAGCTATTTCTGATAAAGATCAGGTGATCAGGAAGGCCAGCTCTGTGATTGGATGCCCTCTGGACTCAGTGCAGGAGGCGGGAAACAAAAGGATCCTAACTAAATTAACATCCCTGTTGGATCATGTTTCTCACCCCATGCATGAAGCTGGTGCTGAACTGGAGAGCTCCTTCAGTGACAGACTGCTGCACCCTAATACTCCATTTACACTACCCTTGAAAAACCGATCCATGCCGAGACCGGTCCGAGCTTGGATCAGTTACCCAGGCCGAGCTCGGTTCTGATGACCGTTTACACATCACGCTATCTTGGTTCCTCAACTCCTCGCCGGTTGGTAAACAATTTTCGGTGCATTACCGCCACCAACTGCTTGATTTCGTCCTTCAATACTGGCAGTAATACCGCAGATCGTCACTAGGAGGCAAGGAGTCAAGGAATCGAGATAGCCTGATGTGTAAACGGTCATCAGAACCGAGCTCGGCCTGGTTAACTGATCCGAGCTCGGTTCTGACGACCGTTTACACATCAGGCTATCTCGATTCCTCGACTCCTCGCCTCCTAGTGGCGATCTGCGGTATTACTGCCAGTATTGAAGGAGGAAATCAAGCAGTTGGTGGCGGTAATGCACCGAAAGTTGTTTGCCAACCGCTATAAAACACAAGAAGAAGACGAAGAAGGAGGGAATCGAGCAAATCAAAATGGCGGCGCCCGTCACATTCAGAAAGTTATGCTTGATTATTATTGCTGCACTTCGGTGTTATTGTTTAAAATGCAATTATTTAAAATGTTGCGTGGAGAAGATGTCGATTGTTGTTTATAGTAGAAGAAGAGGTTGTTCTGCTTCTTTTTCTGGAGGGGCATTACCGCCACCTACTGGAATGGAGTGTGAATCGGGATGCGCAGCCAGACGGAGATGACGCGTTCTGTTACTAGAGAACCGAGGCAGGGAAAAACCGAGCTGAGCCCACCTCTGGAACTGGTCTGCTGTAAGCACGGTTCGGTTCAGTTTGCTTTCCATTTACACATGATAAGTTATCTCAGTTACTGAGTTGAACCGGTCTCAGCAAGGTTTTTCAAGGGTAGTGTAAATGGGGTATTAATGCACCAGGGAGCGTTATCACAGATCCTTCCTCCCAGCCGCTGTAAAACGCTACAACCTTCAATAAGTTGTTACATTCATGCTGATTTTGCACAGTTTCAACCTTAGTCAGTTAAATAACATGCTGCTGTCATTCTGCACATCTCTGATGTTGCTNTGTTGCGTGGAGAAGATGTCGATTGTTGTTTATAGTAGAAGAAGAGGTTGTTCTGCTTCTTTTTCTGGAGGGGCATTACCGCCACCTACTGGAATAGAGTGTGAATCGGGATGCGCAGCCAGACGGAGATGACGCGTTCTGTTACTACAGAACCGAGGCAGGGAAAAACCGAGCTGAGCCCACCTCTGGAACTGGTCTGCAGTTAGCACGGTTCGGTTCAGTTTGCTTTCCATTTACACATGATAAGTTATCTCAGTTACTGAGTTGAACCGGTCTCAGCACGGTTTTTCAAGGGTAGTGTAAATGGGGTATTAATGCACCAGGGAGCGTTATCACAGATCCTTCCTCCCAGCCGCTGTAAAACGCTACAACCTTCACTGATCCCAACAACCTCAATAAGTTGCTACATTCATGCTGAATTTGCACAGTTTCAACCTTAGTTAAATAACATGCTGCTGTCATTCTGCACATCTCTGATGTTGCTGCTATTTTCAAATATCCATTACTGTAAAAATGTCCATAGCTTTATATTGGTTATTTAACCTCCAGGTGCACAGCTTTATAGTATTTTATTGTTTATCTTTTAACTCTTCACTACTATGTCATTCTTAGACATTTTTCTAAGGTCCACATTTGTGTGACAATTTTTTTTCAATTATCTTTTTGCTGCTGTAAACACCAGAATTTCCCCCATTGTGGGACAATAAAGGGATTTTCAATTCTAATTCCGCTCATTAAAGAAACGTGGATAAATGAGCAGAATAAACAGATAAAAATATTTAAATCTGACTGGCATGTTGTTTGACCCTCCAGCAATAAATCAGCAACTGTTAGAACCATTTTAACTGATCCTTGGTGCCCCCTCCACCTTTTCTTTCACTTTTTATCTATTGTTCTTTGAAAAAAAGCTCCATCAATAAGGATTAAGTGCCTAACCACAGGCTCTCAATCAGATTCAAGACTAGACCTCGACTACACTGTAAAAACGGATCTGAAAATAAGCTAACAATTCTTAAAATGTGTGTATTTTCCTTTAACTGGTAAACACGACGATCTGCCACTGGTATTTCTCTGCTTCTGTCTCCTTGAACCCCAGTCAGCCTCAGCAGATGGCCGCTCACACTGAGCCTGGTTCTGCTGGAGGTTTCTTCCTGTTCAAAGGAAGTTTTTCCTCTCCACTGTCGCTACAAGCATGCTTAGTGTGAGGGATTACATTTGAGTCAATGTAATCAACTGGTTTTCCTTAGATAGAAAACTTTAAATCAATTTGACTGGATGATCTGTTTGAACTGTAAAGTGCCTTGAGATGACATGATGTGAATTGAATTGAAGTGCAAATAGTTTTTCTGCCCTTGAAATAAGAAAACTACATATGCATTTGAAATAATATAATGGAAATAAGAAAATCATCATATTCTATTGGAAAATTGTCTAACTAACCTGCTCAAAAAGTTAAAATACACTTCTTTTTATAAAAAAAAAGACTTTCTAAAGCTTCTATTTTTGCATTTCAGACCTTTTAATGCATCGATTTGCTTTAGTTGAACCAATGCTGCTGTCTGAAATCCTCCATCGCTTCAGACACTTTCTTTCTCCAATTACCTTCCTGTTATCACTAACCCCATTTCCAGAGCATGATTCTGCCACCACCATGTTTCCCAGTCTAATAGTGACAATGAAAGTCGTTCTCAACAAAACTGATCATTTTTGACCTGAAAACCTCTTTCTGGGACAAGAGGAGAAAAAAAAGAAATGCTGAAGCAGAGTGGAGGTTCCCCTGGGTCAGTTTGATATAAAGCAGCTTTTATTTTTCTGTGTCTGCTTTGTAACACCGCAGAAGGATGAAAAGCAGCTTGACCTTTTTGTACAGCTGCAGATATTCAACAGGTGGCTCCCTGCGCTTTTCGGCGATCTTCCCCAGCATGTAGTGAATGAGCCACTCTTCTTCGTCACTGTCACCCTCACAGCGGGAGGCTCCTTGGAAACACTGAAACGCCGTCTCCAGCATAGAGTCTCTTCTTTCCTCCATCTGATGGAGAAAAAAAAAACAAACATACAAGGTTAGACGTGTTTTCTCTCTTATCAATAAGCTCTTCTGTATAAGAAATAATGCTACGGCTGAGCCCAACATCTGCCTTCAAAGCAGACGGAACCAGTGGCGGCTGGCCAATAGAGGGCGCTACAGCGCTGCCCCACCCAACCAATGACCCTTATTAAGACATTAAAAAAAATTAGATTTTATATGTAAAATATTAATATGTTAAATATGTCATTTTTTTTATGTGCAAGATAAATATTTAATGTTTAATGACCAGTAAAACGTCACTTCATTTTTCATGGTATTGGTGACGTATTTCCGGCCTAGGGTGCAAAAATCTTTGCCCATTGACTCTTGTCAAAAGTTCCGCAGTAGCTCCTCTGCAATACAGATGTATAGGAGAGCTCAGCGGCACTGGAGAGCCCCACCCTGAGGTGACAGGAAGCGTATTTGCTCACCACCTCTTGCCACAGTGCAGATGTTTTGCAGGTGATTGACAGGTGGAGTCGCGGGAGCTGGACTGGAAAAACAATCCAGAAATAAGTAAAAATTTCACAAATTAAGTGTATTTACCATTAATTTGAGTAGGTTAATGAGATGATTGGAATGAGTATTGCTACTTTTAAAGTAAGATATTTAGATAAAATGTACTTGAAATAAGACCTTAGAACTGTGTTTTTTTTATTTAAAATGTAAATTGTCTTGCTCCATTGGCTCAGTTCAAGAACAAATGCACTTATTTTAAGAAAGATTAGTTACCTAGATTTTGATTTTTTCCAGTGTGGAGACGCTTTGGAGGGAGAGAGGGGGAGGAGGGAGGGATGGAGTGACAGAGAAAAGGCGCAAGAAAGATCCTTTTACTGTCCCTGTTTTAGCTACAAGGCTTAGCTAACACTTTATTCTGTTGCCCTGACTGCCTCCACTGGAAAAAATCAAAATCTAGATAAGTCAATTTTTCTTAAATGAAGTGCATTTGTTCTTGAATTTAGGAGGTAAGTGAGACACTTTGCCAATGGAACAAGACAATTACATTTAAAATCAGAAAAAACAATTGCATTGTCTTATTTCAAGTGCATATTATCTAATTATCTTGTTTTAAGGGTAAAAATACTCAATCCATTGGCCAACCATCTTATTTACCTGCTTAAATTAAGGGTAAATACACTTAATTTAAGACATTTTCACTTATTGCAGTGTCCCTCCTTCTTCAACCGTCAGGATCTGACCCAGCATGGACAGACAGGTGGGACTGATTCACATGGAAAATAATATGTTTGTTAGTTTGCATATTTGCTCTTATATAAACACATTCTGAGAAAATCTATTGTTTTTATATATTAAAAAATATAAGGCTGACTAATAGCTTCTCCATTAATAAACTGGTACATAATTCTTTTAGGTTTGTGACACAATATAGGACAATGCAAAACCTTCACAAAACCTCAGAAGGGCAAGATTTATGTACCAAAAGTAATCCTGTAGATTAAATTATGATTAATTTTTGTAATTTTTTTGTTGTTGGCATTCATATAAATATACTAATATATTCATATAAGTATACGTTTGATTGGTTTTTGGTATACGTCTATTTTGAATTCATAGCCCCCCCCAGAGAAAACTCCACCAGCCGCCACTGGACGGAACCCAAACCGCCACGGGACGCGTTTAGGAGCCTCACCTGTTTGACCACTTCTGGAGGGAGCTCGTTCCGCCATTGTTTGAGCTGCCGAGAAGCAAATGAATGCAGCGCGTACGATATGGTTCCGTACTCGATCCACAGGGACAGATTGGAGCTGTCGATCTCTAAGGCCCTCTTGAAGCAGTTCAGCACGGCCTGGGAGTGCTTCCATATTGGGACGTCGCTTTTCAGCTCATTGGAATTGAGCTTCTCTTGGATCCGGCTGGCTCGGGCTAAAGCCATGCCTGCCCAGGAATCGAACCTGAAGGGAGACGGTTTTTGCTATTAAAGGCAGTCTTGAAACATTTCAAATAAAAGAAACAGGCAGAGGAAATGCAGATTGTATGTGAATTCTGGGAAAAGATCTAGAGAGCAAGAAGCAAAGAGGACTTTATTAGAAGCGGGAAGATATGCTGAAGACAGATGTAATTACGTGCAACAGTAGCTACGTTTACATGGACACAAATAATCGGATTGAAGGCCTGATCAGATCAAAAATGTTTC